GAAAGAAAGAAAGAAAGAAAGAAAGAAAGAAAGAAAGAAAGAAAGAAAGAAAGAAAGAAGATAGATAGATAGATAGATAGATAGATAGATAGATAGATAGATAGATAGATAGATAGATTTATTTAAAAGTCTTATATAGCCATCCATATTATAAACTACAACCCTGGGTGGCTCACAAAACAATAAAAACAAGCAAACAAACCAACCACGATAAAAATTCCTGGCATCCCAGGGCAGCACTCTCCCACCATCAGCATTCTGCCTTGCTGGGCTCCAGCCTCACTGTCCCCCACTGTCCCCCAAGCTCTTCAAGGTCTTCCAGAAGGCTAGAAGGATGGGGGCCTGCTGGATTTCTGGGGGAAGAGTGTTCCATAGGGCAGGGACAACTACAGCAAAGGTGTGCTTCCTGGGTCTGGCTATATGACAGCATTCAAGGGAAGGGACCTGGAGCACACCCACCCTATCATATCATATAAAACCTAACTAAAAGCTCAAACCGAAATAGCTCTAGGGCAGTTTCATGGTGTCTAAAAACTTGTTTGTGGTATCTGAACCCTAAAGGTAACTGTGCTATCTGTATTGTTGAATTTAGTACATTTCAAATTCATGATGTAATTACTAAGTTTGTTTCTCAGAATTAATGGATTGAAGATCACACATTCTAGACTGATTGACTGATTGACTGACCATGTGTCATCAAGTCAAAATTAAAGTTGAAATCCTACTTATTTCAAAGAAATGCTTCTTTATAGAACATTCTTATGCTCAGAAAGTGGTTCCACTGTGATCTTAAGGGAAAGAAAAAAAATGCAGACTAAAGAACCATGAAGTTATGTTGTATAAGTCATAATTTTTGTTGTATAAGTCATAATTTGATGTCCATTGACACTCTTGTTATAGAAGTTAAACACTCTCCTGATTTCTTTAAAAAAAACTTGAGAAACTTCTACATTTTACAAAGCAGTCTAGTACCTGTGAAGTCCTTCCTTGCTCTTCATATACAAAAATATCAATGCTGCATTTATAAAACTAAGAGAGAAAAAACGTACAGTTGATCATTACAGGGTTAATTAGCCACCCTCATGTGGCTTTATTTCCTTCCTTTCTTCTTTTCACATGTATTTACTGCTGTCTCTATCTTTGATTGAAAGATATGTCAAGACTTACTTGCTGCCTGATAAATCTCTTCAGAGTAAACGGAAGACTTCTGTCAAAAAGAACACACTGAATCCAACATTCCAAGAAACATTAAAGGTATTCTAAGCAATTCTTAGTCATCCTGTGAAGAATCAAGGAAGAGGAGAACATACAGTTTTTATGTATGCCTTCCACTGTATGAGCTAAAGTTTTTCCTATGAGTTTATAAAAACCGATGCAATCAGAATAAAAGGGATAACTCAAAGCAGTTCTATAAAACCACTGTATAGGTTAAAAAATAGGTATTATTAGGATTATCCCATCTGTGGTAAAATCCTGACAACTAGAGGACAGTAAAGAGAGGTCTCTTTGCTACCAACTAGAGAGTGTTTGGATTTCTGCATTTCTTGTATGTATTGCCTTTTGACTTCTGGTAACTACAAGGACAAGTCAGTGCATTTTTCTAGGCAGCATTTTCAGAGGTGATTTGCCATTGACTTTTTCCTAGGCCTGAGAGAGTGACTGGGTCAACATTACCCAGTTGCCTTCCCTGCCTAAGGCAGAAGTGGAACTCAGGTTTCCCTGCTCCTAGTCCTGTGCCTTAACCACTAGATCAGACTGGATGACTGCAAGATGGCAATAAAGAGAGATCTGTTTGCTACTGTCTAGGAGTTTTGCAGCATTTCACACAGAATGATGGTAGCTGATGTCCAGAAATCAGTACTCAGAATGGAAGAGTGGGAATAACCCTCACCAGTGTGCTGATCTTGCTTTTTGGATTGACAGCAGAGAAAATTAGGTTCATCCCACACATAGTTGAATTTGTTACTCAGTGCTGATCGCCCAAAACTGTCTTGTCTGGAAACGTTCTTAAAGAAGAAATACCTAAGCAAATACACCAATGGCCCCTTACTTAGGAGCGTGTCTTGTTGCATTTAGTAGGACTTCTGAGTATAGGCACTGGCTTGTAAGAATCTTGGGTACTGATTCTTAAATACAGATGGGACTTTACCCTTTTTTTAGGGAAGACTATTCATTAGTTTCAAAGATGCTATCATGCTCTCTTTGGACCCACTGAGTAACACTTAGAATATAAGAGAGATTTTATTGAGTTATTTTATAAAGTAAAAGTGCATAAGCATTTAAAATCTTTGGAGCTGAAGAAGAACTCTTGTGAAACTTCTGAGTCTACATTATCTAAAAGAGAGGCTGGTTTACTAAATGATAGATTATGTAACATTCAAAATAGTTTCAACCATATTACAATTTGGGTAAATAGTTGATCTTCTACTGTTGATATGTAATTTGTCAAACTTAAAGGAGCTATTTAATTTAAGTTACTTAAATCTGTATAGGTTGAAAACTGGATCCAATTGCAGGCAAGCAAAGTTTCCATGAGGTTCAATGGAAAGCATAAAGTTCCTGGATCAGCTTTGATTTGAAGTGGGCAGCCTCACTCTTCAAGAAAGAAGGATATTAGATATAACTTGGTTGAGGATTAAAAGATTGTTAGATCACCTCCCAATGAACTGTGGCATAACTTTATTCTTAAAGCTATCTTAGAAGGTGGTGATTTATGGCAGGAATCGGTGAATGTGCTATATAATGATGCTGCACCTGTATACATTGTGTTTGTTCATCTCACACCAATCAGTAACACCATTTATCTTTACAGTACAAGATTGAATACTCCCAACTGGAAACCCGACAGCTTCAGATATCTGTCTGGCACTCTGGAGTTTTCAGACATCGTGTATTCCTTGGAGAAGTGGTGATTGCTTTTGAATCTTGGGATTTTGAAAGTAACTCTGCTCAGTCATTCAGCTGGTACCAATTGAAAGCCAAAGTGACAGGACTGGATTAGTTTTATATGTGTTTATTGTATTTATACATGTTTCCCACTTCTTCAGATTTTAAGGATAAATGTGCCATAAGCAGTTAAGTTTTTCAATAATGTGGGCATTAAGTGTCCTCATCACTAGAATCATACAATATAGTTAGAATGCACTCCAAAGATCATGTAATCCCTTCTCTGTGCCAGCAGAAAAAAATCTAGTAGGTAAAATCTCCTTGAAGTTGAGCTTGACTCCTGGTAATTTCATAGACATGTCCAAGTAGTTTTTTTGGCAACTATATAAAAGTGGCTTGTCATCATCTTCCAGGATTTTTTGACTTCTTGTCTAGCATGTGGCTCTGGAATTTCCTGGCTCTTCCACATGGTCCTTGGATCTCTCATCCAAGCATTAACCAAGTCCATTCGTGCTTTATTTTTAAAGATCTGCCAAGGTCAGCAGATCCCTGTTGTTCCCCCAAGCATTTGGGTCAGGAGTTTAGGTGAGCCCTGCTGATGATGTGGCTTTATGTTTTGGGGGCTTGTTGTTTTAACCAGGGTGTCATGGGTTATATGTTGTCGTGGTTTTAATCTTTGTATGCTGCCCAGGGTTACTGTTGTGAAATATGTGGCTCTATAAACCATTTAAATAAATAAATAATCTTGTACTTAACATATCTAATGAAGAAAAATCAGAAGTTTTCAGTGCTTTCTGCTTCATTATGTTTTTTAATGTTTAATCAAAGTCCCCTTTCACATAACTTTGAACCCACTGGTTTGTGTTCTGTCCCTGGAGCAAAGAAAAAATGTCCTGTCATCTCTGTGATAACATTTTAAGTATTCGTAGATGGCCATTGCATCTGCTCTCAAATCTGGTCTGAAAACATTCAAGGTATAATGATAGCCATCAGCTTGCATTATTTAACATAATTAAAATTAATCCAGAGTTTAATGGAATCTTCATATAGAAAAGGCTTGTGCCCCTGAGGACATAATTTTGGAAGACAAACAATTGGGCATAACTATGACTTCCATGCAATACTTCTGGATTTTTACTCAAATACTTTGAAATATTTTATCTGAAAAGATAGGAACTAAGTAAATAAACTCATCAGCATTTGAATGGGTGCTATTAAAATCCTGGACCAGGCGGGTCTTTGATTTGATCCAGGAAGTTAATTCTTTTTTTTTTCTTGTGTTTGTAGAATAGTGGGATACCAGTCACTCATCATGCCAGTGAATCAGATGAGCAAATGGGTAGTGGAATAGTGTCAATGTCCTCAGTGATTTCTCATGTATTATGTTCAGTTTCAACACCTTGGTCTGCTAAGAATCACAACCCAGACTAATTGACAATAGAAGTCACAGTGGAACTAAGAACCCCCTAAGCATGAAAACAACCCAGATAGTAATGGTGGTAGGTGGGGAAGACTGCATTTCCTGATCGTGTGGGAAAAAGCACAACATCCTAACATTTACTGTGGAGACCCTGGGGTTCTCTGAGCTTGGTTGTTTTCTTGCAAACATTTATGCATTTATGTTTGCAAGAAAACAACCAAGCTCAGAGGACCCCAAGGACTCCACAGTTCAACCCTGAGCTACATATGATAACAATTACTATTTGATATCAGTAGCAAGACATTCCTCAAGCCAGTTTCATTCTCAGAATATACCAAAGTGAAAGTGGGTATTAAAGTCTACCCAATTGTCTAATTTGGTACATAAATAGAAGATGGTACTGGCTCCCTGTATTATTATTTCTTGTGATTACTATAAGTAAGCTTATAAGTATGTCTCAGTCAATTATGTGCATGGCTCATCAGAAGGGGCTAATGGCATTTATTATAATTTTTTTTTACATCCTTTATATCCTATTTTTCATTAAAAGAAATAGCAAAACTCTTTTGTTGAGTATTATTCTCCTGACATCTATCCTGCAAAGTCTAGAAACCATGTGATTTAATAACAGTGGAGAATTACTAGTATCACCCTTCCTGTGTAACAGTTTTGAACATGAAAGAAAATACAAAACACTGTATGTAGTAATTTTGCTATTAATCTCTTAGCCAATTTATGTTATGTCCTCAAAACTCACACTTTGTATTTGTAGAATCACAGGAGGATCAGAGTTATATTAAGGACCTTTAAAGGAATGAATGGAAATACATTGTAGCTTCAGAAACACAAATATTTGTCCAATTGGTGACAATTATGGCAAACTATCGTTCACCCTCTGTTTTCTCAATTAATTTCCAGAAAGGTAAGCTGGAAATATTTATCACTCTGTTTTTTGGGCTTAGTAAAAATTATTCTTAGGAGTAAGGATGCTTTCCAGAAACCCTGAATCTTCTAACAGAATCCTCTCCCACCCATTGTGAATTGTTGCATGTTGAATTAACCCTTTATATCTTTTATTGCTCCCTATTCCGGCTCTCCTTGTACCATCCTTCTCTTTAATAAACAACCCAAGGACTAAAGTAAGCAAGTATGACATTAGTAACAGTAAATGGAATAATTCTCAGCTTGCTTTGTATCCTGCTAGTCTCTTTCTGTGGCAATCAATTCTTTCCCTACTGCCAAATGACCCATGTACAATTAAAAACTAGCCCAATGTATAAGGTTGTGTAGCTGAACCAAATAATTACTCCAAATCCAGTTCAACTGCAAAATTTATATACAAAACAACTCCATTTCTTTCTTTCTTTTGTTCCTGCTAAAATAAATTCTTCACCCAAATTTTTATAAATCAAATATTTTATGTCCTTTTTTCTAATGTATGTATCTTGTAGGCAAATTATATTTTAATTTTTTCATTTTTTTTTCTTTTTTGAGGAGCATTTGTTCCATTTATATTCCAAGTTAAGCATTTGTAATCCATAATCAAGCCAACAATTTAGAAAAGTTGATACTCGTAGCACCTAGTTCAGTATCATCCCTTTCAGTTTCCTATTGCGTCTGCTGAAGGTTTTGTGTAGTCTCATCTGACACCTCCGTTTGAATCTCCTCCAGTTCCTCTTTAAATTTTTCTAGAAAATCCCTTGCCTTCTGGACATAATTCAGTCAAAACCTCTGCTGTTTAAAAGTAAAAATAACACCTTCCAGTTTGTCCCATTGAAATGGAATCTTTTTCTGTTTTAATCTCTCAGTCAAAAAAGAATACTCTTTTCTCTTATGCAAAATTCTAATAGGAATTTTTTAAAGAACAATTCCATCTGTATTATCAATCTTCAGTCTTGTATTAAAATGCTGCTGCAAAACATGATCTCCTGTCTTCTTTCTGACAAAGTGCACCAAGACATCCCTTGGAACATTTCTTATTCCCACAAATCTGGTATTTATATTCTATATATTTTATCAGTTTCTGTCTCTGTATCCTCCTCATCCCAGTCCAAAACATTTGCTAAAGCTTTAATAACCTTTTCTCTAAAATCTTCACCAGAATCCTCTGGGATTGCTCTAAATTTCAAACAAAATTCCTTCTCTCTTAATTCCAATAGAGCCAAATTCAACTCTCTGTCTATAACTTCTGTCTTACTCCATTTTGTCATTAATTTGTTTTACATCTCTTGTTACTTGTTTTACAGAGCTTTCCATCTTGTTGACTTCTTTCAACTCCTCTTTCATCTTTACAAGTCTTTGATCCATTTTTTCAAAAACTGTCAATTTAATATCAAGTGATTCAGCTAACATATTGCCCAATTCCTCAAACATTTTATGAAGCTAATCTGGTTTAATTCCCCTCTCTGCAGGTTGCTGTAGTGATCCTCTCCTCCCCTCTGTTGTGTTTGCTGCTTTTCTTGTGGTTGCTATTGTAATATTGTAATCCAAAAGTGAAAGTGTCTCAATTGCAAGGGAAAGAATAAAAGACAAGCTTCTCTCCCTCCCCCCTTTTTTTCCTGTTTTATCTTACTGTGCCCTAAATACTTTCATCTCAAATGACACGCTGTAATTACCGTCAGCATCACAGTCTGAGTCATATTATCTTTATCTTTTATTTTGTAAAATTCACCAATTGTCTGCACTTTTTAATAGTAAGCAAGAAACATCCCCACGAAGGTCCAGTTCATTTGTCTGTTTTAATTCCAATTTGTTCAAAAGCACTTTCACCAAAAAATAATTTTCAAAATAACTATCCTCTTTCTCCATTTTAAACTTTCTTATATCCACTCGTTAAGCCTTTTGTGAAAGATTTTTAAATCTTTGAAACCATTTTTCTTTTTTTCCTTTTTAATCCGGAAAGAACGTTGACTCACCAAGTGGAATTCTCTAATCTTGCTGCTCAGAAAATCTCTCTTTAACTGTAAATTAATTACATCTGAAAGTGTTTAAGAACTCAAGGCAAATTACCTCAAGGGGATACTGTATTAATGGATAGCATGGCTATTCAAAAAGCATTTCATCAATATTATTCCAACTTATATAAAGGAGGCGACATCTCTCTGGAGAAAATAGATGAATATCTAAAGAAACAAAATTTGCCAAGGATTACAAGGGAACAGAAACTGATTATGAATGGACCTATAACAATAAGGGAAGTTTCTGAAGCTATAAAAAAGATTAAACCA